ATGGTCCGGAGCCAAGAGCGACGCTCTGGGGGTGGAGTGGGAGGATGCGCAGGGGGATCAGGGGCCCAGTCCAGGCAGAGCCAGGGGAGAAACCCAGCCCCACATATTGGTGGAGCAGGGCCCCAGGCTCTGTAACTCACCAGCACTTCCGGGTTCAGGGGCACGGGGCCCGATTCAACCAAATCGGCCTAAGGCCGGATCTGCCGGCAGCCACCAAGCATGCTGAGGCCCAGTATTTTTTTCCCGCAGCCCGGTACCGGGCCGCAGCCCATAGTTTGGGAAACACTGATCTAAATGACTCATAATTATAAAATCCTTTTTCTATACAAGGAAATCTACTAAGCTTACTAATCAAAATATAAAATTCAGATCTGTACAGCCACATTCAGTTATCTGTTCAGTTCCATTGATGATAGTAAAGAAGTTAAAATCCCAGACCAAATTCTGCTGGCAGCAACCAGGGAACACAACTGAAGTCAGCTAGGAGAATTTAGCTCACTGTAGTTCATAGTATTATATGGGACATGTCCGCAAAGACTTCAACTTAGTCCCAGAACTTCCGTTGTGCCTGCCTCTGTTCTCTTGGTATAAATCTGGTAAATTCAAATGTAACTTCAATGAGATCAGTGAGCTACACTGCTGCCAAAAGAGTAAATCAAAGCAGAAATGGAGCCTTTGCACCAGACCCTTAGCTGATATAAACTGACCTACCTCCAAGGACATCAGTGGCGCTATGCCAGTTCACACTGAAGATATGGCCATTTAGTTAAAATTCAAGTTTTGCCTGGATCAATACTGGGATTTCAACTCTTCTGTTTATACACGAAGTGCCAAAACTCTTTGCACAGATGATCTTTTGTTAATTTCATTAGTTTCATTTATGCTACGAAATAATGTGTGTATAACATTAAGTATATTATGTATTTAATTCTTATCAACTGTATAAATAGAAGAAATATTTTGCAGTATAAAACATGGAAATAAGCTAAAAATAAACACTACAATTTAAGTGACACTTAATATATGCATAAAAATATTAGATTTTTTTTTCTCACCACAACGTGGCTTGGGAAAACAAGCTAGGTTACCCTTCTACAATACAAAATGTCAAATCCAAAAGCAAACCTGTTACTGATGACACGTATTTAACAGAATTAACCTCATTATTTCAAATGAATGTGTTAAAATGAGGTACATGAACATATGCTTTATTTTCTTTTTAACATCAATTAATACTAAACATGAAAATAACTGAAGGACAGTATACAAGAACATTTTAAAAAACACGAAGACTTCTAGGCAAAGTACAAAAGCTTTATTTTTATTACAAATAATAAACTTTCTCTCTCAAAAAAAAAAAAAGATTTTTAACATTCTAATTTGCTGTCATCCATTCCAGTTACCTGATACAAAGTAAGAGTTGAGTGGCAAACCTTTATTGTTGCCTTTCACCACAACATATAATTACAGTGGTGACTCAGAACAGTAACACTTCTACTAAATCTCTACTTAATTGAAATCAGTCCCATTTAAGTGTCTTGGTTTAAACTGGCCACTGAAGCCTTAAAATATCTGTTACAATTATGTTATGATCTATATTTTTAACTGGTGCAAATCTGAGCATTGGAGCTTTCACCAGCCAGGATTCTGACTTATATCTTGCAGTAATGATTGAGATAAATTAAGGGAGTACAAAAAACACAGAAGAATTTTATTGTGCTATCTACAAATTAATGGCCTTTAGCTGAGGGCCAAATTCTACCCTCTTTATTCATGTGGAGTAGCACTTTCCCCTGAGAGCAGTATCACTGAGTTTAATGGCAGTACTCTTGGAGTTTAATGATACTCAGTGTGAGTAAGGATGGCAAAATCTGGTCAGTAAAAATCAGTGTAAATGCTCAGGCTATGTCTAGACTACATGGCTCTGTCGACGGAGCCATGTCAAATAGTTTATTCAGCATCGGCAAACAAGCAGAGATTTAAATAATCTCTGCTTCATTAAAATAAAAATGACCGCCATGCTGTGCCGACAATCAGCTGATCCAGCACAGCGCAGCAGTCTAGATGCGCCGCGGTCGACAAGGGAAGCTTTTGTCGACCACTCTGAGCCGATGCCAAATAAACCAGCATAGCCTCAGACGTAGCCTCTAGACATAGCCTCAGAGCACATCTACAGTACACCGAAGATCTTTACTGCCATGGTCAATCTTCCAGGGTTCAGTTTAGCAGGTGTAGTATAGATCCATTAGATCAAACTCAAAGGGCACCCCTGTTGGCACTGGTGCTTCTGCTCCTCACCAGGAGCAAGGGAAGCTGGCAGGAGCATTTGCTTCTGTCAGTCTTCCACTGTGTGGGCAGCACGGAAATTTACATAGCTGGGGTATTGTATCTTACTACTGCCTTCCCATGTAGTGTAGACCAGGCCTCAGAGTGCTCAGGGTAAAGGATTCTATACCATATTCTCTCAGATCAAGCACAGGTCTCTCATTATTTCAGTACACACTGCTTTAGGATATACTACATGACCCATCATTTGCATGTTCCAAGAGAAAACAACTTTTATATTGTACCTAGCAAAGCAGTTGAGAGAGAGAGGGAGAGGTTTTTTTTTCTTGCTTTTGTCACCCATTTGATCAAGTCGCTTACTTATTACTTTTATTAAAAAAAAAAACCCTGCTGCATATAAGATAGCATTTTTTCCAAAAATGGATGCATTCCTGTGAGAGAATGGCCCAGTGGCTTATTTTGAATTAATATTTTAAAACACAGTTTCAGCTGAAAACTAGAAATAGTATGATGGGACATTTCTTGGATATTGTATTCACCATTAATTTTTCAGTCATTCTTTACACTGGCCCCATGTAAAAGAGACTCAGGCTACATAGTGCTGAGTCTATCACCTCGATCAGGGCACAGCTTGTGGGAGATGGGATGTTCCATTTTCTCATTCATTCCTGAAAGAGGGGATGGTTCATGCCCAAAGGGTTTCTGTGGAGGCTGCTCCCCATTTTCTGTTCTCACAGTCATGCAGACTACAAATTTACTAACTCTTTCTGGTGATGAGCAGGGTAAGTGAGTCACAGGAGAACTCTACCAGATATATATGGATTAAGCACAGAGGAAAGTAGGGAAGTCACTAACCAAGAAGCAGTAAGGAGCACTTTGGCTAGAAGGAAGGAAACTGGAAGATCTGACTTCCCTGCACTTCAAAGAAGTCAGCCACTTTTGCCTGGAATATTATAAAGTGCTAATGCCAGCACCTCTCTTGAAGACTGATGGGAACCCCAGTTCTGAATGGATTTTAGAAATGATTTTTAATGACTAAAAGTGGTTAAATTGGGTTATCAGAAATTGCAGACAGACCCACTCTTTAGTCAAACAGCAGCTTGCAAATAAACATGACATATCATGGGAGGTGTTGAAACTCACTGAATTAACATGTGAACTGAAGTATAAGTGAGTACATCTGTTCATATTCCAAATATTTTAATATATGTTTATGAAGAATTCCCTGTACCTTTTCAAATCTTTATATAGAAGCTGCTATACAAGCAGGGACATCCACAAGCTGAAACCAGTCCTGATGCTATGGTATTGTATTCCCAAAACTCTATGGCTGTGTCTACACTGGCCGCTTGCTTTTCCGGAAGAGCAATGACGATCTACTGTAAAATTGTCAGTATTTTTCCGGAAAAACTATGCTGCTCCCATTCGGGCAAAAGTCCTTTTCTGAACAAACTGTTCCGGAAAAGGGCCAGTGTAGACAGCACAGTAGTCTTTTCTGCAAAAAAAGCCCTGATCGAGAAATGACGATCGGGGCTTTTTTCCGGAAAAGCGCGTCTACATTGGCCATGGACGCTTTTCCGGAAAAAGTGCTTTTCCGGAAAAGCATCCTGCAAATGTAGACGTGCTTTTTCTGGAAATACTTATAACGGAAAACTGTTCCGTTTTAAGCATTTCCGGAAAAGGGTGCCAGTGTAGACGTAGCCTACTTGATTGTTTGTGGTTTTAACATAAGAAGAATGCAGACCAAATCTCTGGTCAATGAGAAGATCCTCAGAATTAATGTTTTAAATCTTCCATCTTTTTAAATAAATGATCTTTACATCCTTTTTTTCTGCTTCTCTAGGGACAAATCCTGCAGTCTTTACCCAGCTTTACTTACTTCTCCCTCAAGCAAAACTCCCAGTGGAACAGTGGAGTTTACTGGCTGATTTAGAAATGAGTGACAACGGCAGAAGTGGGAGCAGCAAGAGAGATGCATTAGAAATCTCTTTAACACCCAAGAAAAATTGCTGTCTTGACCAAATAGGATTGGGACTAAGGCCAGGTCTACAATGGCGGACAAAATGGATGTAAAATACGCAACTCCAGCTATATGAATTATATAGTAATAGATATGGAGCTGTGTTAGTCTGGTCTAGCTGACAAACCCCGTTGCCAGCTTTGTCCACATATTCACTCTGCTGATATCATAATTGGACCTAACCAATTGAGTTATAAAATCAAGAACACATATTCCTGCTCATCCAAAAATATAATTTATGCTATCATGTGCCGACAGTGTCTGTCTGCTATGTACATTGGACAAACATCTCAGACACTTCATCAAAGAATCAATGCACACAACAGATACTAGACAGGTTCACAAAGAAAAACTAGTTTCTTGCCATTTCAACCAGAAAGGGCATTGTCTCAACAACCTGATTACCTGCATCCTGCTTCAAAGACCTTTTAACACCAGACTTGAAAGAGAATCCTCTGAACTGTCATTCATACTTACATTTGACACTTTACACCTAGGTCTTAACAAGGATGCAATTACCTTACCCATTATAAAGATAGCTTCCCCAATTATCACCTCTAATATCATTAGCGCACAGACATTTACCTTCCCGCCCCCCCCCTTATCCCGCTTCTGTTCTGAAATTTGATTTGTCCTTTTCATATGTGTTCATTTTTTTTATTGTATCCTTTGGTATATATGGTTGCGCCAATTTTCTTCCACAGTTTGATCTGAGGAAGTGGGTCTGGCCCACGAAAGCTCATCACCTAATAAACTATCTTGTTAGTCTTTAAAGTGCTACATAGTCCTGTTTTATGAATTATGTAGTCAATGTACCTTGCATCAATTTTCTGGGGTGGCCCCACAGCAGGAAGTTTACAGGGGAAACTCTCCCATCAACTTCTCTTACTTCTCGCAACAGTGAGGAGTATCGCAGTTGATGGGGGCACCCTCACTATTTGTTTTAACAGATCTTTACTAGACCCACTAAATTTAACCCCAGAAGATTGACCGCTGGAGTGTCTATCCTTTGGTAAGTGGAGACGTGGCCTTAAATGGAGCAGAATGAATATAAAATAACAAACAGGCTGCAACACTATTTCCTATCTGAATAGAAATCTGCTAAGCAAGGAGATCTGAAGTCTTAATTGCAGTGTTTCTTGCTAACTTGCCAGAAACATTAGTGTAGAATGAGAAAGAGAAAAACCTGTATGGATCCAAATAAGAGAATATTGAGCATTTGATTTTTTGCTCTATTAAACAGAGTGTGAACCCATTGTTCAAATAGACTTTGATCAGGCAGTTCACAAAATATTCCAGTCCAGCCCTGATAACACTGACATGTGAAACTCTGCTTCATGGCCTGTATGTCTTTGGGTCGAGGTTTTCCAGTCACAAAGAATCTTGGACCTTTTTCAGAATGGTGGACCCCAATCTCAAAACTTTTGGGTGACAAGTGCAGATAAGAAGAGGAGCCGCTGATTTTACGGATACATCTCCCATTCTTCTTACACAGAACTTTACTGCAGAGTTTGGCTGCCGACGTCACATTTATGATATAATGTCCTAAGGGGCCATTTATGTATTTTTTCACAATTGAACAGTTCTCCTGTAGGATAACAAGAGTGTGACATGTTAATCGTTAGTCAGTTATGTCCAAGTTACCATCTTTTTGGTAGAATATTAACATAGCTAAACAGATATATTGAGAAATTCTATTGGCCTTACTCATGTGATTAGCCCCTGGGCTTAAGTGAGTCTGCATTTATGGGAAGGCCAGTAAAATATTGACCTTTATTGCTTTTCTGCTTTGGATGCCTAGTAAGAATATATTTAATTGTTTATTAAAAATGAAGTTTGTTAGTGTTTGTTGAAAAGGAATAAAAGTGGCTTTAAACATTTATTGACAAATTGCTTTTGCAGAAGGGATTTCTACACTGATCATCATGACTCCTTTAACTTACTGGACAATTTTTACTGGCGTGTGTGCAATGTGCAAAATTGAAAAATAGCTGTTCGTTTCCTCAGCTCCGTGTTAGGTTACTGAATTTATTTGCGGGTTCATCCCACCCCTCTGGAGTCAATGGGAGTTTTTCCAACAACTTTGATAGTAGCAGGGTCAGGAACTGAAAGAGGTTGTTTTTTCCTGTGTTGCTAATGTCTTATCAACGGTCAACTTGCCTAAATCTTTCTAAAAGTGAGGTGAGGGAGCTGGCCTTGCAAAGATAAACATACAATTGTTATGCCAACAGGCGCAATACACCTGGGACCTATGGAGCTTAGAACGTGACCTTTTACCACATGAGCTAAAAGCCAGTTGGCTTTTAGTTAAAGCTGTAAAGCAGATTCATTATTCTCTCTGTAAGGGTGTGTCTACACAGCATTCTTCCCTCGAAATAAGCTACGCAATTTGCGCTACGTAAATTGCATAGATTATTTCAATGCTATTTTGAAATAACTTATTTACACAGCACCAAATTTCAAATTAAAGCACTATTCCGAAATGTTCCTTATCCCTCGTGCAATGAGGTTTACAAGGACATTGGAATAGCGATCCCATTATATTTTGATATAATGGGTTTGCTTTTAAGACGTGGAATAGCTATTTCGGGTATCAAAGGTATCCCAAAATAGCTCTGCTGTGTAGACATAGCCTAAGTTGTCTTGATAGCACAGCACACCCCACATAGAAGGTGTACACAACCTTCAGTCACCTTTGGTAATTCCACAAGAGGGGACTATAAGATATCTTTAGGTGAGTCCTGGGGGCTTGTGAGGAGGAGCAAGATTTTTCTTAGGTTGGAATTATATTCCATCTATGATTGTTATAAAAATTAGAACAAAGCTTGACATTTGGTCTGTGAAAAATGTTCCCCACCACATCCCTTGTCATCCCCTGCCAAATACTTGGCCTTGTGTTTGGTAATATACAGATTGTGCAAGCAGAACATTGTAAAACAGAGGGCTACATTTTCATTTCAGTGCTTCAAACCGTATCTTATTAACATGGTGGCACTGCTATCCACTGCCATGGATGTCATCCATGTTTGGTCCTTGGATGTGGTTCCTGGGAAGCATTGGCTAATTACAATATTTTGTTAACAGTGTGAAAGGACTCCCAAGTCTGCCATCTTCAGCAAAAAGCCTGGTGACAATGATGGGTGAGGGAGAGCTTCATGGTAAGGTTGTAAAACAGTAGAAATAAGGAAGGAGGGGGGAGGTAATTATGAAGGAAATAGCACATGAGCTGTAAACATTTGTAAACCTGACCCACCTACCTCTGAGCTGGCATACTGCATGCTTCCCCAAAGGACTACCCCAGCTGCCCCCAAAGCAGCACTCTCACCAATAGTGTTCACCAGGTCAGTCTGAAAGAAAAATGTGTCAAAACTGAGCACTAAAAAAGCATCAGACCAAACATAGCAGAGCACACTTTGGATGTGTCTAGATAGCACCCTTCTGTTGGAATAAGCTTATTCCGAGTCTAAACTGAAAGAGCTTACTTTGCAATTTGGCACTTATTTTGAAATTTGGTGGAATGAGGGTTACAGAGATGCCAGAATAGCAAGTCCATTATTTCAGGAAAAGGCGGACACGTTTAAAGATGCAGCGTTGCTATTTCAGGATACTTCCGGTATCACAAAATAGCCCCGCAGTCTAGACATACCCTTAAATATGTAAGCACTACCTTTTCCTAGAGGAGATGTTGATTTATGCTGTAGAATCTTCATATTCAAAAAATGCCCTTAATAAACTCCCTACTTAGACTGTATGGTCCTTGAGCATGGACTGTTTTTCTATGCTTGTAGAGCTTCCTGACCCTTATCTGGGGCTTCTGCATGCTATGGTAATACAAATAATAGAGTATAATACAAATAGATCCAGGGAGTCTCTGAAGCATTTTAAACATTGACTTACAGCAGAGTCTGCGAAGAGATGGGATGGAAAGAGGAGAAGGAGTTAATTATTTCAAAAACAGATTTTTGCATATTCACATAAAGAAATATAGTTTCCTATTGATGTTTCAGTGTGTTGTAGTATATTCATAATGGATCCTTCAGAGTGATGGTAGGATCAGAAAGGCACTGGCAGTGACACTATTGAGAACCCTTATCGCTCCTGGCCAGTCACGCTGCCCCCCGACCTCGCTTATCTCTCCCGGCCAGTCGCGCTGCCCCCGACTTCCTTGATATCCCCAGCCAGAGCAGAGAGGGAAGGTCGGGGGCAACGTGGCTCCCCATGAAGCAGCCGAGCATCTGCAGAGCGGCAGCTGATGGGGCAAATACTTTGGTACTTTGGACCCCATATTTTCCATATTATCAGACAATCCTTCAGTCCCATTTAGGTCAGATAATCGAGACTCTACAGTATAGTTTATGATATTTATTATTTCATCACTCTCTAAATGTACCTGGCATTTTATATGTAAGGACTTTGCTGTCCTAAAATGCGTATTGTTCAAGATTCTAATCTGTGGTAGAGAAAAAGGAAGTAGGCTATGTAGTTGGACTCACTTATCCTTGTTCTTCCCATCTCCTCCCTCAGAGGATGAAAGAAAGGTACTCATATTATTTTTAAAACTCAATTTTACAGTGTGTTTGTTTACCTTCCCTCATCCCTTAGCAGGGGACCTGTAATTCAACAGCTGCTTAGCTTGCCAATAGTTCCCTGGTTTTATCCTCTTTTTGGTGCTGCTCAAGATGCTGTTCCAGGTTTTGGATGCTGTTTCCAGCAACCAAAGACCCTCAAGATTTTGCTCCGGAGCTGATGCTTTTGATTATCCTCTGGAAAAGAGTAGAATCTCTCTTGCCAAGGCTCCTTTCACTGACTGATTAGCTGAGTGGATTTCATTTTGTACTGAAAAATGGAAGGAGCTGTTCAAATTTATCAACATGAAAGGAAACTGGCACCGCAATTGGATCTGGTCAGATACAACAAAAAATGTTTGTGATCTTTACTTCAAATTCTGAAGGGCTCTTTGTTTCTGTCTAGTCATATCCCATCTTATTCTGTCTGGCAAAATATTTGTGCAAACATGGCTTTGTTCATGGGGAATGGCCTTTGTACAAATACACACTGACATGAGGACACAGGTATTTGTGCATGAACAAGAATAGCTGTTATTCATTATTTGTCATTCTGCTTTATTAAAACATTTGTTCTTCCAGACAGGGAGCAGAAACAATACCATGTAACTTCAATCACTGATCACACATTATTAATAGCAAGTTGTCTAGAGGGACAGTTTCTGAGCACCCTAGAGCATCAGTATAGATAATCATTTGCATAAATTATGCAGTGCATACTTCTGATAAGAAAGCCATTCATAGAAGTTAGGATCTGTTGGCAAATAATTTGCAAAGAGAAATGAGGCCTGGGGGAGCACAAATGCAGTGACATTCCTGGCCTCAGGATTTTGTCTTTCATGGAACTTATATAACAGGAGCAGCAGCGTGGGTGGCAAAAGAAGCTGCTGGCAGGGGAGGGAAACTCCCCAGCCTATGACCCCAACCATACTCCACCCCTTCTGTGTCAAGTCCCCACCTCCACTTTTCCCAGGCCCTGTCTCCTCCCCACCATCTCCCTCTTCTGTTCCTTTTCCCTTCTCTGCTTATCCCTTCTAAGCCAAATCCTTGACTCCAAATGTAGCAAATGATATTGAAAAATATACTCTTCTAAAACGTCTTTCCAAAGAAAGTGGAGCATGTTTTCCACTGTATGCCAGACTGTGAAGAGAGAACATGCAAAAGGTATCTAGTGAAAAGCACTAAATTTGGGAATAAAAAATATCAGTCACATTTTTATATTTTTTTGCAAAAACTTTGTAGTCAGGGCAAGTCAGCTGTCCT